GGCTCCATGGGACACAAGGAGATAAAAACACACGTAACGTTACGGACAAAATACCCAGTAACTTTTGCGGATTTTTGATGCGGATTACGGATTACGGGCTGTATGTGACGGCACCCCACGGACTAAGGAATAGAGGGACGGAGCACAAGCTGGTACCGGGGGGAGCACGTTTGAGGCGGGGGGGGGGGGCCGCCATTATCGTTTAGTAATCACCACACATAGAACTCACTATTTGCGTATATGTGAGAAATGAAAGTCAGATCCTGCGCACAATAAACAAAATAGGAAATAGAAATAGGAATAATTATTAAATATTAGAAATAAGAAATTGGAATTATTTATTTTAAAAATAAAAAGAATAGGAAAAATTAATGCATGAATTAAGAAATAAGAATTGGAACTAATTAATATATTTTATTCTCTTGTTAGATGTAAAATAATTTCTCTTTTTAATATTAAATGATTATTGCTATTTCTAATATTTTGTCTACTGTATGCAGAGTCTCAGAGTAATAAAAGTTAAAGTATTTTATAAAATTAATAGTACAACAATAATAAAACCACCTAATCTCTTTACGCTTGTCACTCGTTATGTCTAGTGGCACCACTACATGAGTGTAACCATGTCACAGACACAGAATCTCTGTGTGAAAATCGCTACATCAATATGGCGGAAAGCAGTCCCCCCCGCACGCTTGAATTACCATCCCCTCTCGACTAAACTAGGACTTTAGACTCAGTCCCTCTATTCCTTAGTCCGTGCTTAGAAAGAAATAAGATGCCTTTAAGTTCTCCTTCTAATGCTGGATTCACACCGGGTTCGATTTCCGACGTACGATGTCCGATATCCAATAAGAAAAATTATTTTATATAAAGCAAACTCTCCTATTGGATATTGGACATTGTACGTCGGAAATCGGACCCATTATGAACCCAGCAAAAGTTTAAATCTTCAAATTGCTTAGTTTTTTACAAATTACAAATTGCTCAGTTTTTTACAAGCCATGTGAACGCGAAATCAAGGTTAGGTTACTAATACCGCCATTTTTCTAGCCAACCAACATGCCGCTGCATGATTTCCCCCCTGCCGCTCAAACTTCAGTCCCTTCACCTATTAGGCTACTTAGGGTGAAATCAGATGATACGGAAAAGAGCTGCGGAACGGAGAGTGCGTCATTGAGACAGCCAATCACTTGCGGAATACAATCGTATGCAATAGCTGTGATTGGCTGTCTCAATGACACACTCTCCGTTCCGCAACTCTGTTCCGTATCATCTGATTTCACCCTTATCACTCCATCCACGTATTCATACATCCATGGTCTGATCTTTCAATGTGAAAGGAAAAAGATAAACTCTGAACTAGTGTAGCCAGATCAGCTATAAAGAACAAACTTAAGAACAAACCTCTCATATATACAGGGTGTCCTAAAAGTATGGAAACAGTCGAATATTTCGTCAGAAAAGTACTTTCGCTGAAAGCAGTAAATAGGATAGTTTTAGGGTGCAGTCTCATGAACTGATATTTTCAGCGTAATACGTATTGCGTAACGTAATATTCAGATCTCAGTGTTTACATGAACACAAAATTTACGTAGCAAATTCATTAATATTATAATTTCCCATTCAACAATATAATTGTTACGTACAAAGCATGTTATATTGCAGTTACATTGTTGAGTGGGAAATTATAACATTAACGTTATGTTACTGTTAGCTTTTGTTTACTGAGAATGTTCTTCAATAATTTCTTACACAGAAATAGCGAGCATAGCACGATTGTTAATTGTTCCAAATGTAGAAATAACACGCGTGACACGTAGTTTATATAATTTTTTTTTAACAAACAGGTTTGTTGTTTTTATTTAAAATTAATTGTATAACAATTTTATAAAATTTTTTAAAATCTAATTTAAACGTTGAAGAGTTGGAGACATGATCGTCTGTGAATCAACTGTCAGTGCAAAAGATTAAAAGTTTTTTTTGTGTCAGACAAATAATTTCTGCACAACATTGCATACACTAATGCTATATTTTGGGAAATAAGGATTTTTGAAGCAATTATTTTATATACCAATATTTATTATTAATTTTTTTTATGACTAAATATATCCCATACAGCACAGAATATTGCAGCAACATTGCGGCGATATTGCAACATTCCAGCAACATTGCAAGAACATTGCAATATTGCCGCAATGTTGCTGCAATGTTTTGTGCTGTATGGGATAATTTATGTAAATATTTAAAATATAATAAAAGACACATTTTTTATTAACCTTTTTTAAAAAACTTTAAAAATAATTCAGAAAAATATTTTTTATATTCTCGTAGTCAAGGTAGTCTTTTCTCTTAAAGTCAAATTCAATTAAAGTATCATATGTAACAGCATACAAATGGGTACTATCAAATTGTATAGAATGTATATATTCCTTAAAAGGAAATTGATCAGAACGTATATTGTATAAATAGGAATCGGGGGGTTTCGGACTCATTTGATACATCTAAAAATTTTTAAGACAATTAATAATATGTCACTAATAAAGTACAAGATACATAAAATCTGAAAGTAATACAAACTTGAATGGGAGCACTTTTTCTCTGATCCCATAAAATAATTTTACCGTTTCGTGTCCCCGTCATAATAGTGTATAGATAATCTGATGAGAAACATGTTAATATATCACTCCACTCTGGAATGGATGAAGTATCGCACATATGTACACATTTGGATGTTCTGAAATCACAGTAGTGAATATAACTAAATTGAATGGCCATTTAAGAGTCGTATTTATAGTCCATTCTTATATTTAAGATCGTCTTAAAAAATTATCTTAAGATGCTACGAACCAAACAGAAAGCCATATTAGTGTCTTAAGACGACGACGACGATGACATAGGACGACCTTAAATATAAAAACGAACTATGAATACTGCCCTTAGTGTTAATAATAAATTTATTAATTCCAGTGAATTCCATACCCAGCATACATAGAACATAGCAGCAACATTGTGGCAATGTTGCAACATTGCAGCAATATTATTGCAATATTGTAACATTGCAATGTTACTGCAATATTCTGTGTTTGCTGGGTACATACTGGTATAAGCACCGCCGTTAAAGCCAGCCGAGCTTGTTTGTGAGACAAAAACTGATAGAGAAACAGTGAAGGCATCCTCTGCTATGGAGATTATTATTATTTTTCCATTTAGATAATGTGCGAGACAAAATAAACATCACTTCATAAATTTTTTCTCTCTCGGTTTGGAATCATTAGGCAAATTCCTACTTGGTGCTCATTCCAGTATGTATAGAGTTCACTGATTACCTCATATCTATCTTTTTAATATAACCCTCATTCAAAGTGAGAATAGTCTGAGGATCCTCCCATAGTAATCGGTCAAAAAAATCATCATATTGTTTCTCCATTATCTGATAACTAAAATGCCTTTCATTAGTTTGTAGCTCTGTGAAGTTAGACTACCAAAATTAACTTTTCTAATTTTCAACAATTGTAGCTAATTGTTGGTTGTGAATTTAATTGTTATTAACAAAATAAATATCAGTGTGAAGTTAGCTTAGCTAATAGAAATTTTTAATTTTTTTCAATTCTTACACGTCAAATCGATAAAAAATCAATTGTTGGTTTCAATTGTGTCTTTTAGAATGTTTGTTGGTGGATTTATTTATTAATTATAACAAATAATAATTTGTAATAACGCAGTACTATTATTTCCAGAGTGACTAACTTCACGGTTGAGAGTCGCGCATGTGCAGTATGTGCGCAATTAAAAATTATTATTTTGTTATAATTAATAAATAATCTACCAACAATTATTCTAAAAGGCACAGTTGGGACCAACAATCGATTTTCTATCGATTCGGCGCATAAAAATTGAAAAAAAATTAAAAATTTCTATTAGGTAGGCTAACTTTACATTGAAATTTATTTGTTAATAACAAATTAGCAACCAACAAACATCAAAATTAAATCGACAGTAATCAACAAACAACCAACAATTAGCTACAATTGTTGAAAATTAGAAAAGTTAATTTTGGTAGACTAATTTCACACAACTCTAAAAATGCATCAAACAGCACACAATGTTTCTAGTAATTTACCAGATCGCATGCGTATTGTTGCAACAAGTTGCATCACTGAACCATATATACAGGCTGCGTTCTGTAAAACGCATATGCGCGCATATATTAGAATGAACCCTTCCCATAAGAACCAATGTGTTTGTGACCAAAAAATAGCAATAGTAAACAAAGACGTCTGTCCATTACGTTATGATAGGATATTAAAAACAAAAGTAAACATAAAACAGACATCCTCGTCTAATGTAGCTCTCTCTTTTCCACAGTGGACTACCCCGCTCACTAAACTATAAGAGTGTATAAAAAAGGTCGAAACCCCAAAATATCTCGAAAAATATTAGTTTTATTAAAAACTGTTTCAGATGAAAGTTGTAAAATTTAAAAAATTTATTTACTGATCTTATCAGTTTGACCTTGAATGGCGTCGCCAAGATCAGAGCAAGGTCACATTGAATTTTTAAAATGGAATTCCTTATTTTTGATTGCATATGCTTATAGTCCTCCTAGCCAACTTTTCAAAACAATATAATTTTATCCACTTTGGGTGACGATTTGAAGTTATCGAGGTTTTTATGGATGTCCAACCAACGAAGGTAAGATCAATGATCGATCCAGCCAATAAAGACACAATCGGCAGATATTTCGGCTAATAAAGGCAAGATCGACAGATGATCCAGACAATGGAGGCAAGATCACGGTGATTATGAAGACGTCAACGTAAAAACATTCTTTATCAGGATGTGATAATTGGTCTAGCAAACACATTCTGCTAATGTTTAACTTCGAAACGGCTGAAAGTGGATAACTCCAATAGTGACCGGAGGATGTCTGTCTCCGTTTACGTTTATTACCGTTATAAAAAACGTTTGCCTCTATAACAGTTAATAGTTGTCCGTGATTTTATTCGTAAAAAGTTTGATGAAGACAATAATATTATAATATTATTCATATAAATTTTTACAGATCTCTTATTTATGGTTAAAAATTGTCTTTAAAGAAATAGAATTTTTCGGAGAATGTTTTTAGTTCGGGCTTTACAATACAGATAATCGTCGCTAGCCAATCAAAAATTTGCGAAGAATACAAACACCCCCCGACAATATATCTCTCTCTTTTGGCCAGTGGAACCAGCCCCATTCCTTCAAGACCATTTCCAGTATGTTATATAGTTCAGTGGTACAAATATAGTCAATGTTTAATCGAACATCTGTAGAAAACAATTAATTAATTTATACCTTATATGTATTTTACCTTTTATCAATATCATAAATTAGAACCGAGCTATGACGCGATTGTCGATCAATGATATTAGCAGCAAATTTTGTTCCTATAGGGTCAAATAAAATTGAAGTCACAAGAGAGTGGTTCCTATAAAATAATTCGTTTCTTTCCACACAACCATCTGTTTTATATGTATTTTTCTGTATCTAAATAAAAACGGATTTTTTACATACTACAACATAGCATTATTGCAATTTTTTAAAATCTTACCTTTACTGAAACTTTTTCGGTTGCATCGAAAAATTGACAACTTAATATAATATGTTGCGATGTTGCATCTAATCGATAAATGTAATCATTATTTACAATGCTAGATATTTTTAATTGTGTAAGATAATTTGTATTTTTTTCCCGTGATTGAATTCTCCAGAATCTGAGACTACCATCTCTGCAAAAATTTTTGTTAAAAATAAAAAAAAGAAATAAACATAACAAAGTGTATAAATAAATACTCACCGATGACTACTTATAATTACGTCATTGCAATAAGTAATGTCTGCAATAATAGAGTTGCAATTTTCGACAACCTTCTTTTCTAAAGTACCGTTCTTTGTGCGGTTATAAGCCATAAGACTCTTACTACCGTGAAACACAACCGCATTTTTAGTCATTTGTAGGCCACTGTTACGAACAATAAACGTTAAAGGTATTTCACATACTTTACGTTCGACATATATTCCATTATTCCAGTTGCAATGCGTAATAAATTTAGAGATATACGAAGATAATAGTGGTTTACATCTGTAAAAAAAATAAAACGTATGTTTTTCAATGGGATTTTATGTAAAATCCAAGCAAACACAAAGTAACAGTAACATAACATTAATGGTATAATTTCTCACTCAATATAACTGCAATGTAACATGTTTGTACGTAACAGTTACGTTGTTGGGTGGGAAATTACTTTGTGTATGCTGGGATCGAGAATACATTATCTTCTGAAAATATGTAAATATTAAAATGTATTTTAAAAAGACATGGTTAAAAAATTAAATCAAGTTTTGCATAACTAAAGACACGACAATAAGTTCCGATTTGAGAGTAATATATAATGTTTTATCAACAAATATTGTATTATATTTGAAAAAAATATTTTTGTTATTCAAGAACACTTTTCTATTAATATTTTTAACTAGATAAATTTGGATTAATTTGGAAGTGATTAATAATGCCATTGCATCATCTCTGTTAATAAAAAATTTAAATATATATTAAAATAGCGAATAATTGCTAGCATATTGCTACAAATCCATTTAGAATTAGTCAAAAAAGTTACCTAATTCAGAATTAGGATATATTTAAAATTGCATAATATGTCTCTTATAGAAAAATATTATTGGCTGACCAGTATTATTTGATATGGATACTTGATTCTGAATAATGTATTACCCGATTTCGACAGTTCCACTCATTGAACTATACAGGGTGTCTCATTTAACTTGAGACAACTAAATATTTCGAAAAATAAGCATTGTACGAAAAAATGTCCCAAATAAACTTTTAATATTATCAAGGGAGACGTCTGCCTGTGTAAAAATTAACCCGCCCCCACCGCCCCTTGGGGGTGGAGCGGGTGGAAACTT